CAGGGCACAGTGCTAGGCAGGGGGGTCATAAGTCCTACTCTGTTGTTGTAGCCTGAGCAACAAGATGTGGGGTGTGACAACCCTGCACGTTCATTGGGAGTCATGCAAGGGCCCTGCTGAGCCCACCAGCCTGTGATAGAACCCCATGTCTTGGACTCGGCTCCTGCCGGCACAAGAGGAAACCTGCTCTCATCAGCATGTGCCATGCTATGATTTTGCACATTATTTATACTGGAAGAATGTACAAAAACGAAAATGCCTAATAATGAAGGGCAGGAGCCAGCACTCCCTCACAAGTTAAGATTACATGGTGATCTCTAGGGGAGAATATGAAATAAGAATCAGTATGGGAGTGGGAGAGAGCGAGGTAGTGAGTGCTAGGGCCAGCAGCCCTGATTTCAGAGTTTGTTTTGTTTTGACTTTCTGTCCATTTTAGCTTATTATTCACTGACCTCCATGTATGTGCCAAGTTCTGGACACAGCTACTGAGTGTGTGATTTTTAAAAGGGGTTTCCAGCGTGTGGAATGGACACAGGCCTGGGAGAATTCACCTCTCTGTGCCAGACCCCAAGGAGGGGGCATGTGGGGTGATGGAGTCCCTTGGGAGGTCAGAATTTCCAGGAAAGGGACAACTCCAGGAATTTGTTGGTACTGCAGTGTCCTTAGGGCCATGGTGAGTGGTTTTCTGGTGTTCAGGGAGGGCCCAGGGAGCTTTGGGGGAATAACCCAGGTTTTAGGGGATGAGCAGGAGTGAGGCAGCAGGCAGTGTGTGTGGGTGTGAACATGTGTGTGTACTTGTGCTTGCATATGTGTGTGCAGGAGCACCCAGAGAGCACTGGAGGTGAAGCTGGAGAAGCAGAGCCATCCTGGGCATCAGGAAAGGCCATAAGAGAGGGTTCTAGAGGACCGCCCTAGCAGGCTGTGGAAGGCATGATGAAGGGCAGCCGCTGACCTGGTGTGGGTCAGGCCCAACTACAAAACCGTGGACAGTGGTACACTGAGGTTAGAACACAGGTCTGGCTGAAGAGCCGTGGGATGGTTGGTAGGTTCTGAGGATCTGTGCCACACACAGGTCCTTTGTGTGCAAAGCTACAGTGCAGTTTCCCAGGCACAGCCCCCATGGTGCTGGGTGGCAAAACGTCCTGTCCACATGCACCCTAAGTACCCCTCCGCTGGCCTCTGCTGGCTCTGGGGTCTGACAGCCTATGTCCACAGCCCTGTGCCCTCAGTGCCTGGGAACCCTGGGGTAAGCCATCCTCTGAGCCTCCAGTGTTTCCTATGCAAAATAGTTAAGAAAATGCCCATGGGACCAGGCTGAGGAGAGGTGACCCACGCAAGGCCTTAGTAAAGTGTTTGGCATCTAGGTATTGATATTCTTATTATATTATCAAAAGCAAAAACAGCAGCTGTCTGTAAGGGAGACTCTAGAGATTAGGAACACCCACAGGCCAGGTTTGCTTTGATAAATTCTGTTAACAACAACAGCCAAAGATACCACTATTCCTGGGCAGGATGCCAAGCCCTTATTCTCTTGTTCGTCACATGACTCCTGGGAAGTAGCTGTTACTATTCCCAGTTTCAGATGAGAAAACTGAGGCTCTGACATATTGTGTGCCTCCTCAAAGCCTGTAAGTGTTGGAGGTGAGTCCAAACTCAGGTCTGACTCCACAGCTCTGACTGTGGGGCTCAAGCCCTGCTCTGCCTCCAGGTCACTATAAGAGAGAGGACACCTCATAAACTTCTTCCCTGGCGGTGGCGGGGTCTTGGAGGAAAGGCCAAGAACAGGTACTTCTCAGAAGAAGAAATAAAATATGTTGTGGAGGTAGGAAAACATGCTCAACCTCCTCTCTCAGATAAATAAATAAAATCTTAAAAAAGGTGGGGAAGCACTTGGGTGGCTCAGTCATGAGCCATGAGCCAAGTCAGGCTCATGACCTGAGCTTGATTTCAGCTCAGGTCATGATCTCAGGATCCTAAGATGGAACCGCAGGCCCCATTGTGGAGCCTGTTTGTCTCCCTCCCTCTACTCCTCCTCCTGCTTGTGCTTTCTCTCTCAAACAGATAAATAAAATCTTTTAAAAACAAACAAACAAGCAAAAACCATGCACAACCTCACTTATAATTACAGAGGCACATTCAGAAGTGACAACATGTTTTACTTACCAGATTTGCTAAGATGTAAACTGCACAGTGTGAATGAGGGTGTGAGGAAAGAATGACTTCCATTGGCTACTGGTGGGTGTTAGAGATTCATGTGACCTTTTAGAGGGCAATTTTTTAGTATCTTCCAACATTTTAAATGTTCACACTCTTTGTCCCAGAAATTAAATCTGTGTGTGTATATTTATCCTAATCATATAAAAACACATATATTTACACATATATGTGTAAATACATAAACCCTACTTAAAGGGTTGTAATGACAGCACTGTGTCTGGTTAAAAAAAAAAAAAATGACTGTCCACAATCTAAATGTCCATTGGTGAAAGAACTGCTTAAATAAAATAATTCATTTATTTATTCATGCAATTCATATGCATACAGCCCTGAGAAGAATGAGTTAGTCTATATATGATGAAAACTTCTGATCTTCAGCATATATTCTTATGAAAAAAGCAAGATGAAGTAGAATATATAAAAGAAGCTTCATTTTGTAAAACAGAAAGTAATTGTACATACATACAATAGTTCTAGAAGGCTTCTCATAAATCAATAAATTGCTCTCGAAGTGGGATGGTATCATTTTCTTTCCTATTATTAACTCTTGATTCATTGTTCAGATTTGTTTTTAGCTTGTACTTGTTGGGTCCATTGTACTCACACAGTCTCTGGAAGGCGTTTTGGATGTGGCTGCAAAAGGCCATTTGAAATATGTACCTATATCTGCCATCCAAAAGAGGAAAACTGATATAGCTTGCCACCTCCCTCTGCTGCCTCTTCCTTCTCATTGTAGATGGGCTGATGTGCTTCCACTGCAAACACAGAATGCCTCTTATCCTATACCCCTCTGTTTCCCAAGGTGCACTGCAAGTCCCCAGAAACTGTTGCCCAACCATGGGCACCCTTGGGAAGGTCCAGCTGCTGATAGTGCCAATGCCATGTGACTCCTACTGCTGTGGATATCTGGAGGGGTTGAGCAATAGTTGAGATGGAATTTCATTTGGCACTTAATGTAATCCTTTCAGCTTCTGCCAGAAGCAGTGAAATCTATATAAAGTTGACAAACCTGACTATCTCCTCACTGAGTGTTGACCCCTTCCATCCAAGGGCAAGGCAGTGGATTTCTGCACATGACTCATTTGCAGTACCTGGGGCATTCAGACTTACGGGAGTTGGCTGAGACCAGAGGGGTAGGGCAGGACTGATTGGGCAGGAGCAGAGGGTCTTCTCCATTCCAACCTCTGCTTCTGAGAAGCAGTGATGTAAACTGAGACCGGATATAGACACATCCTGCCTGAATTAGCAGCAAGAAAGAGGGCTCCAGGGTTCTCTTATAGCAAAGAGCCTGCTGTAAATCAAATCCTAAGGGTAATCTAGAATGGTATGCAAGTAAGGGCTGCATCCCTGTGAGCTCCGGAAGGGAAGTGTCTGCAGCCCTTGGTCAAGGTCTGAAACTTGACTCCTAGAGAACTGCTAGAGAGAGGGCAGGGGTAGGGTTCCTGGTGAATAAGCCTGTCTTCTCCAGCCAGGGTAATGGCCGCAGGCCTGCACTTCCTCAGCGCCTCTACCAGAATGATTACAGTGGCTTTGCCTTTCAACCTGGCCCAGACACACACATACTAAGTTCACTAGTGTCTGACTCCCACACACTCACAGAAACACACATGCACACACCAATGCACATGAGCTTCCGGACCCAGTCTAGTGTAAAATGAAAACAAAAATGCCTGACATTTATGTGTCAATCTCTGTGCTGAACCATTTACAAGCTCTTAATTCTCACAACACAAGGAAGAATACCCTATTATTCCCATTTTGCAGATGATGAAGTTGGAGCTAAGAGAGACTAGCTTGCCACAGGCACCTGGCTAATGGGTGGCATATCTGATCCCACAGCAGGCAGTGGGGCCCTCACTCCAGGACTGTCATCCTCCTGCAGCACCCAGACTCGCTGAGTACCCTCACCAGCACAAGCATGGGCATGCAAACACAGGCATCTAGCCACAATCCACTATGCTCAAGGTTCGGTGGTGAGGCCACACAACCACCTGGATTTAAAAGACTTGTAAACGAGTGTCTCTAGTACCCATATTATTATCATATTAATTACCTAACGTGATTACACTATAGCCTCCGAATGTCTCCCCTCTGACAGTTTCTAAGGACCAGATCTAGCCAGGGTGGGGATAGAAGGGATAAACATTCACTGTTTTAAAAAGGAAATTTTAGTTTTTTTTTATTGCAGAAGCCCACTGGCCGAGGAGGGCGTAGGGGAGGCCTGGCAAAGTTTCCCAACATCCTCACAAAGAAGCTCAGGGTATAGGATTTCCCGTCAGCAGGAAAGCATGTGCCGTCTTAAAAAGAAAGAGGAATTACAACGCCCCAAAAGGTCAAGGCGAGCCGATGCCTCCGCCATGTGTGTGTCCCTCCCTGCGCCCAGAGAGTGAGTCAGGGCATCGGCAGAGTTTACTGAAGTTTACTCCGAATCCGCCCCCGCGTCCAGGGCCGCCGAGCAAAGAGTGTACGACGTCCTCTCCCTCCCAGTAGGTCCTTCACTTACTAGTCTAGGGGCCGGTTCCTGCGGCACAGACTCGGCGGCCACCGCACAAAGACGTAGAGAGCCGGCGGCGCGCCGGGCGGCGTTGGCCGGGCGGCCTCTCCAGGCCCCGGGGCGCAGAGCCGGGCCGGGCTCGGGGGCTCCGGGCGCGACCCGGCGATGCCCGGGGCCGGGCTGCAGTCCCGCCTCTGAGCCCGAGCTCCTGGCCCCCGTGGGCCCGGCCAGGAGTGGGGTCCCGGGGACCCCGCGGAGCAACGGACCCCCACGGGCGGCGGGTACTCACCAAGGCTGGGCCGCGACGTGCCATTGACGCTGTTCATCGCCGACGGGTGCGGGGCGCCGGCGGGACCAGGGGCCGAAGGGACAGCGGAGCGGTGGCGAGGGTCGCGCCGGCCGGCTCCTGACCCTCAGCGGCGGGGAGGAAGCGGCACCTGTGTCACGCTCCTCTGGCGCGGGCCGAGGGGAGGGGCTCCGGCCCGAGATAGGCAGACTTCATTTATTTTTTTTCTGCAGACTTGGCTGGTGGGGTTTCCACCCTTTTCTTTCTTAGTTTCTTTCTTTCTTTCTTTCTTTTTTTTTAAACACACAATCCCGCCCACGTCCGAACTCTTCTCTGTTCCAACTTTTCTGCGCAAGAATCACATTTTTCTAACCACGTTTCTGTTTCCGTCTGCAGCTACCAGACTCAGAGGTTGTGGTGAATTCCCCTGTGTGTGGACTGAAAAACTCCCAGATGTGACAAGAGGGCCTGTCCCAGCACTGTCAGGGCCGGTGACCAAATAGGGGCAGACCTATTTGAATCTTGGCTGGCTGCTTGGCCACTCCAGAGCAGCATGGCCTCTCGACGCTGAGGGTCTTAGTGGCCTGGGAAATCCCTGCATGGCTGGCCCCTCAAGGGCACTGTCCCAGTCCGTGGGCTAGTGTTTGGAAAAGATTCTTAGAAAAAGGGATTGCTTGGACAAAGACCATGTGATTTATTTGGATCACTTCTGTCTGAGGCTTCCAGACATAGTAGAGTTTGTAAAGTCTTCACTTAGGCAATTAAAAACTTGAAGCGGATTTTGACACTCTGGTTAGTTAAATGGAGTCTACCTACATCACCCAGAAAGAATGCTATGTTATATGTAGCATTTTATCTCTTCCGTCTCCATGCCAGAGAGAAGGGCAGGGAATTTGAGACCATGGCACCCCTGTTGAACTCTCAGACCCAAGAGACACCCTGCACTTCTCATGTCTGATGGCTGCTCCTTCCTGTGGGGCTTTTCATTGTTTACTTGACAGTCCTGCAGTGCACTGCTGACACCTTCCTGGCTTCTCCCATTAAGGTTGTTCTGCTGCAGTCCCAGGGCTGCATTCCAGATGTCTGTACAATGTGGTGCCCTTGGGAGTACCATCCAGGTTGAAGGCAATGTAAGGTTGCCCCCTGGAGGTGTGCAGCACAGACTACTTTCCCAATTCTATGTGAGCTGGACCAACTCCAGGCATTATTATCAGGACTGCCTGTTTGACACAGTGGGCAAGTGTTCATAATTCTCTTTAGTTAGTTAATGAAGAATTGACACTGCTAGTCAATATTTAGTGAAACTTCCAGGATGGACATATACATGTTGATGTGAAGGAAACTATTCACAGAACACTCTTGACCAGGTGTGGAAACTTTTGAGTCTCCATTTCTTCACTTAGAAAATGGGGACAAGAACACTTGAATTCCAGAGTTTTGCAGAAGCAATGTCTATAAGATAACAGTGGGACAGAGTAGACATTTACTAGAAACTTGCAACAGTTCAACATTTTGTTTTGTAGTACTTATAGATCCGTGTTGGCTAATAGTATCTCCTGTTTCAGAATTCATAAATTAAACAACTTCAATTATCTGAAATGCAACTGGGGAACTGGAAGGAAGCCAAAGAGCCAATAGGTAACCAAAGGACATGTCTGCGGGTTATTGTACCTCAGTTATGGGAAGACTTCTCAAGGCTCACTGATAGGCAAGTGGCCTTTAGACATAATCATAAGATGTCTGCTTATGTCATTTCTCATGGTAGAGTGGGTTAAAAACACCAGAATATAACAAGAATTCCTTACAAGGAGGAAGCCAAAGAACTAACTAAAGAAAGGTAGAAAATTCCATAAACAATAAGGTCAGATACAAAAACAAAGTAGCATTTATTATACAATTAATATTGTATAATATTATTAATCCATTATTAATTATCCATTAATAATTATATATTATTAATTGGATATTAATCCAATTATGGATTCAGCCATAAATGGAGGATGTGCTGGATCATGGACTGGCAAGGAACCAGGGCTTTAGGACTCCATCTCGGTTTGAGTCTCCACTGCCTTCCATGGGGCTGACTGTTGGCATTTTATTTAACTTCTCTGAGCCTCAGTTTTTTCATCTGTGAAACTGGAACAACCTGCAAAGTTAGGTTGTTGTGACTAATACTTTAGATAATAATGTGAGGGGTACCTGGGTGGCTCAGTGGGTTAAGTGTCTGCCTTCAGGTCAGGTCATGATCCCAGGGTCCTGGAATCGAGCCCCATATCGGGCTCCCTGCTCAGTGAGGAGTCTGCTTCCTCTCCTGGTCCCCCCTTGCTTGTGTTCCCTCTCTTGCTATCTCTCTCTGTCATAAATAAATAAAACCTTTAAAAAAATAATGTGATAATACAACATCTTAGCAAATAGCTTAAAGATATTAAGTTTAAGTTATTGGAGAGATTGGTCCCCTTCCCTTGATGGGCACGCTTATAGTAAGGATCCAAAGCCATTCTGAAAAGAAGATAAATAGGGTTTAATGGTGAGTGGTTGTTTAGCTTGTAGGGAAACATTTGATATTTTAGAGGATTTAACCATGGAAGTGTTTAATTTTAAAGAAATGAGGCACATTTTGAGAAGGCAAAATAAGTATATGAAAAATTAGGTTATATGGTAAAAGTCTGATGTTAAGTCACAGAAATGCAGTGTGTCTGGATACTTATTAATGGAGTAGCAAGAACTCAGCTATATCTTATAACAATAAAACTGTTATCTCATTTAATTCCCATAAATACCATCAAAGAGGATATTGCCAAAGGCGCATTTTAAAACAGAAAATGGAGGTTGGGAGCAGTGACAAGAATTTGTCTGAGGAAGTGCAGCCAGGGCTGGGACTCAGTTCCAGCAGCCTCAGTAATGTGTGCAGGATATGGCTGGTGTAAGCTACTGAGCTCCCCACAGAGTGACAGGGTGTGATGGAGTCCCAGAAGGGAATTTCTACTTCCTTCCCAGAACTACATCCAGCAAGGGTTGCCCATGAGAGGGGCATCCCTGCCCACTTTATCCACACCTAAACAAACACATACTCAGTGCTTGTTCCTTCTTGAAGGGGCCCTACTGTAATCCCTGTCTGTGAGCTCTTACACATAGAGGCAGGCAGATTTTCCTTGGATCCTATAAAATCTCTAATTAAAAGTTTTGCCCTGTATCAAAATGATAGATGTTCTTTTTTTTTTTTTAAGTAATGGAAATGTGAAAAAAAAAAAATCCCAAACTCTATCAACTGCTCATAATATCTAGCACATTCAGGTACATTTTTTTCTAGTCTCTTACACACTTACGGACATTTGCTTTATAACTCTGAGATGTTACTGAATATGTGATTTTAAGCACCGAGTTTTCACTACCAAACATTATACCATGACCATTTTTCCATATAAAAGTACAAAAGCTCTTTAATTTGTTTTAATTACTAAGTTGCTTCCTTTTCTTTGCTATGATAAACCATATGAACATAAATATATGCCGTTCATATTTTTACCTTAGTTTGTATTCCAGTAATGGAACAACTGGATCAAAGGTTATGAGACTATGTTTCAAGCTTCTGATACATTCATGAGTTATGGCTGTAACAATTTATATTCTCCCCAACCAAGTGTTCATCTCAGAGCCTCTTGCCAGAATCAAGCTTTAGATTTTAAATATTGATAATTCTGTATATGGGAAATATGTAATTATTTGACTTTGCATTTTCTTGATTACTAGTGGGATTCAATGTACTGTCATACGCTTATTTAGAAATTGCATGTTCTTTTGGGTGAATATTTTGTTCATGCTGTTTCTCATTCAGAAGGGTGGTTAATGTTTTTCTTATTGATTTATTTGAACTCTTTATACACAGTAGACAACAACACTTTTTCATGTGTATTGCAAATATTTTCTCCTTGGGCCTTTTTCTGGTTCTTTCTCATTAGCACAGAAACATGGCTTAACTTAACTGATTGGCAAGTTGGAAGCTTTTAAGAAAACCAAACTGTGGCTCTGCATATTTTAAGTGGAGAGGATAGAGGAAGTGGGGGTTTGGTTGGTTAAGGCTCCTGCAAGCTGTGAGTAATGAGGAGCATGGGGTAGGAATGGGGAGGGTGGGGTCCTGAGAGATCAGAGAAAACAAACTGTGCAGCCATGGCCAGGAGCCTCTCCCCTTTCCGAGGGACACAGAGATCTTGAGAAGAATCCATAAATGAGGAGGTTTGAAAGCTGAGAGAGAGGAGACTCAATGCTTTCTGCTAGGACTGAGGTGCTAGGACCTCTTCTGTCTAGACTTTGCTAAAGGCTGGCTCTCGACATGCCAGGTAGAAAACAGCACCCAGGGTCAGTGAGGTTGTGGACTCAGGTCAGACCCAGAACTGCAGCCTAGGCCCCTAACTTAAAGTGGTACCTCTTCTTGGGGGTAGATCTTAAGGATCCAGAATAACCTGCCTCTGGATGCTTTCTAACAGTATCTTTAAAAGAAGAGGGACAGCAGAGAAACCCAGCAGGAACACCAGATGGTCTGGGATCGTTTGAAGTGACCATAAGCAAAATCTCATGTGTTGGTGACAGGTCTGAAAGTCCAGCTGTATGGACTATGGTTAAGAAAGTGAGAAAGCTTCAAAGTAAGGGTTGGGGCAGGGGAGGAAGGAAAGAAGAGAGAGAGAGAGAATGAATAGAAAACCCAGAGATGGGCGCCTGGGTGGCTCAGTGGGTTGAAGCCTCTGCCTTCGGCTCAGGTCATGATCCCAGGGTCCTGGGATCGGGCCCCACATCGGGCTCTCTGCTCCATGGGGAGCCTGCTTCCTTCTCTCTCTCTGCCTGCCTCTCTGCCTATTTGTGATCTCTGTCAAATAAATAGATAAAATATTTAAAAAAAAAAAAAAAAAAAAAAAAAAAGAAAACCCAGAGATGTCAGGATGGGGTTGGCTTGAATCTTGAGCAGAGAAAAGTCAGTAAAAAGGACACAACATGTAAGTTAGCCTGGGTGGTTCTGACACTTTTGTAGATTTAATGACTTCCCAGAGAAACACATCCCAGCAGACATAGGAATGTACAGGCAGTAACAATCCTCTGAGCACCTA